GGATAATGTGGGCCCCCAGGTGGATTCAAACCACTGAACGAGCTGCAGCCCCTGGGCCCTGGCTGCCGGGCGCTGCCGTTTGTGCCCACAGAGCTGCCCCGCTGGCCCGGGGCTCCTTGTGCACCAGCACCGTGCCAGGGAGCAGGACCTGTGGGCCTGGTGCCCGCAGAGGGGGCAGCCTTGTCCCCTGCAGGCCCCAGATCTGCGGATGGGTCCCCAAGTGACGGGTGCCAGGTGATGATGGATCCCCGGCTGGTTGGTCCTCGGTGATGGAGCAGCAGTGATGGGTTCCCTGTGGTGGGTCCCAAGTTGAAGGGTCTTGGCCATGGGTTGAGGTCCCACCAGTGCTGCTCAGGGCACCCATGAGATGGCATCAAAGCCACTCCGTGCCACGGCCGCTGCACAGGGTGCGGGAGAGCTGTGCTGGCGCACATGGATCTTCACCACTTCCTTTGATCAAAGCCAATATCCGCAGGCAGAAAACACAGTAGGTGCCTTTCCACTGGGAACACGGGCTGGAAAACACCCGGCCGGGCGCCAAGAGCCGATGCTCTCTGTTTCGGGCTGTTAAAGGATACGTGTGTTTAACTAACACGAGCTGCACGGGATGTGCCGGGTGCTGCCCCTTGGAAGGCCAAGGAGCATTTGCTTTGCTGGGAAAAAAGGACCAGCTGAGGAATGCGGGTACCTTCGTGTGCCTGTTCATGTCTCTAGGGAAACATGTCGTTGCCGTCTGCCCCTTCCAGCTCCATCTCTCCTGGGCCGTCCCGGCTCCCTTGGCAGGACCGGGGGTTATTTGTCTTCCCCTGTGTGGATGAACAGGCACTGATTTCATTGGGTTAATTAAGATTTTTTCGTTAAGCACCTGTTTTGATTCCAGCTGCTGCAGCCCTTCCGAGGCCGCTCGTGCTGCCTTGGAGGAACGGGCAGCTCCACAAGATGAAGGTGCTGCAGCCCGTGGCCGTGCTCCCTCCTCGGCAGGTGCCCACGCTCTTTATCTACCACCAAACCACGTCCAAAAGCAGCTCTAGCGCCCAGCCCTCGAGCCCAAACACAGTGGGTTGGGACTGAACGAGGCTCTTGGCTCCATCCGCAGCCCCTCACTGCGACCCGTCCCCGCTGCCGGGCCAGGAGCCTCCTCCAGGGCATGGGTTTTCCAAAATCTCTCTTGATTTTGGGTGCAAAAGTGTCAGTTTTGCCACTTCCAAGCTGCTCTTCCGTGAGGCCCTTGGTTTCTACTTTTATTTTTGCCTTAATGCCCAGTTCCTGCTGTGCACAGGGACAGTAAATGGAGATGGCCCTATGGGGAAGAAGCAGCATGGAGAAAAATACATTTTTTTTTTAATTATCGGAGGCCTTTGCTTCGGCATCCCTGCAACGAGTTGCTTTGGGTTGAACTGGGTCCACACAGTGTTTGTGTTGGTCACAGAAAACACCTGCTCCTGCACACAGCTTCACCCTGACCTTGCAAATAAACACGGCATTTATTTCCTGAACAACCTCCTCAGGGGCCCAGCACTCAACTTTCCAGCACAGGAACCCCTTCGACATATCCCCAAACCGGTTAAAAATAAACTTAAAAAATAGATATTAAAAATACTTCCTCGCTTCCCCCTGAAAGGGGAGGAGGCTTCTGGTCTTTCGGAAGCAGGAGTCTCTCTGGAAGAGCTCCGGGCTCGGGAGCGTCGCGGGGCTAGAACTTCTGCAGGAACTTGAGCACCAGGTCGCGCAGCTTGGCGCGCAGGGGCTCGTCGTTGTCGCAGATGATGTGCGTGGAGTCCTCCTCGAGCTGGATGAGGGTCTCTGCCTCCTGCAGCAGCACGATGTGGCCCTTGGCCGTGTCCTCCACCTTCACGTCGCTGAAGCCGTGCTGGACACGGGGCAGGGAGGGAGGAAACGCGGGCGCCGTTACCAAGGGCCATGAGGTGCCTTGAGGGGCTCCGAACCTGCCCCGTGGACTGCAGAAATGCTGCAGTGAGGGGGTCTGCACCCACAGGGAACCCAGGAAGGCAGAACCAGGCTCCACAGTGCAGGAGCCACGAGCGCAGCAGCAAACCCCAAAGCCTTTCCTACCAGCTGTGGCATTTGCAGGGCCTCTGCTTCGCTCCCTCACGCTCCTTGTCACAAAACTCCTGGGAAACGACCTGCTCCTGCGATTCCCTCCCAGCTGGTCCCGTTTATTGACGACCAACCGAGGAGCCCAACCACTACCTGGGGAGAACCTGCCCCCACAGGGACCCCTCGCAGCCCTTCCAGGGGAAACAATTGACAGCGGAACGTGTCTCCGTAGGGAAATATCCTATGTGTGTCCAGCACAGGGACACGCAGCCCCCAGAGCGCTTTCCCAGCTCATTCCCGGCTCTCCGTGTCCAGACATGCTGGAATTTCTCATCCAGCGGCCGCAGAGCCAGCCCCTTGCTGCCACCAAAGGCTCCTTTTACCTTCTCCAGGGTCTGCACGAACTGCTCCACGGGGATGGAGCCGCTCAGCAGCGGCTTCGGGGGCTTCCCCTCGGGCACGTCGTCGCTCACCCGCTTCCTCTTCTTGCTGGCAGGCGCCTGCGGAGGCTTCGGAGGAAGCTGGTGGAGGAGAAGGGAGACCGTGAATCCCAGCACGAGTTACGGGCAGCAACGGGCACGTGGAAGAGCAAAGGGACAGGGATTTCCTCGTTCTGGGTCGCTGTGGGGCAGGATCGCGGTGTCGGAGGGCAGAAACGCGGCCCCGGGCGCCACTGCGGACACAGGGCACCTTTTGCAGGTGGGAGATGGAAAAAAAAAAAAGGTATTTTAAGACAAATTTCTGTCATCTCCAAAGGCTCAATTGAAGGCTGAAGCTTTCTGGTCTAGCACTCAGGTAGCCTGCAGTATTTCCTGGGAATCATGCTTTAAGGAGTTCAATTCCTTGGGAAAACCCCAGTTTCAAAGACAGGTTGGGAAACCCTGGCAAATTAGGAGCAGGGAACTAGCTAGGGAATGAGGGAAATGAGCGATTTTCACATCAAAAAAGTAAGTTTTTAGGAAGATCTTGAATACAGGCAGGGAGGCACTGGAGATGCTGCAGCTGAGGGCTGAAA